CTTCGCAGGCTGCTGGTTGAACTTGAGCTGGATTGAGTGACTGCTTCTTTCCGTCCGTCGTGCTGCCTACTCTGATGTGAGGTGGATGATGCTCCTTGTGGGCTTACCCGCGAATGAACACTTTGTCCGGAAGGTTGCTCATGTTGACTATCGGAGTGTGACCCCAACCGTGAATGTATGCTCATCCGTGGGCCTAGTTGAGAGTACACGCTCCTCCGCGCGCTAAGACGGGAGTATACGCTATCTCGGGGGCCCAATCGGGAATGTACACTGCCTGAACGTTCGGCTCGTGGCTGGTCGAATGGCTGCTTGCCGGGACGCTGCTGGAAAGGTTCGTCTGCCCTTATCCTACTTCGGGATACTTCGTCCGGGGCACGTTGGATCCCGATGCGTTGCACAAGTTGATTCACCAAAGTTGTCTGTTGTGCAAGGGCGCTCGTCAACTCTATGACTTGTCGAGACAAGTGTTGTTCGCCATTTGGATTGGAAGAGCTTGGAAGGAATGCGCCTCCTTGGGCAGTGGAAAGGTGGTAGACTCCGAGCGCGAGATTTGAGTTAGGAAATGTCAAATCCGCGAAAAAATGTGGTGAGAATGCCCCCGGCTCGATGGTAGGTCCGGATGGTTGAGATAATCTTGGGCCGACTTGGGCTGCTTGGAAAGCCACGGGAGCAGGCTGGGCCGTGAGAGTGGGCTGCTCGAAAGAAGCAGGCTGGACCACGGGAGTGGGTTGCTCGTCGGAAGCAGGCTGGGTCACGAGAGCAGGCTGCTTGGCAGGAGTAGGCTGGGTCACGGGAGTGGGCTGCTTGGCAGGAGCAGGTTGGGGCACCGGAGTGGGCTGCTCGACGAAAGCAGGCTGGGCCACGGGAGTGGGTTGCTCATCGGGAGCAGGCTGGGTCACGAGAGCAGGCTGCTTGGCAGGAGCAGGCTGGGCCACGGGAGTGGGCTGCTTGGCAGGAGCAGGCTGGGGCACCGGAGTGGGCTGCTCGACGAAAGCAGGCTGGGCCACGGGAGTGGGCTGCTCGTCGAGAGCAGGCTGGGTCACGAGAGCAGGCTGCTCGGCAGGAGCAGGTTGGGCCGTGAGAGTGGGTTGCTTGACGGGAGCAGGCTGGATCACTGGAGCAGGCTGCTCAATGCGCGGTGCATGTGAATGCGAGGCTTGGGCTTGGGTCCACGTAAACTTGGATGACACGGCTTGGATCGTGGTCTTGGTACCGTGAGCCTTGGATGGCACGGCTCGGGCCGTGGTGAAGGCTCCATGGACCTCGCCACGAGTGGCTACCGAAGTAGCCACCGCGGTGGTTCCCATAGTGGCCGTGGTGAAGGCACCATGGACCTCGCCGCGGGTGGCTACCGAGGTAGCCACCACGGTGGTTCCCATGGTAGAAGCTTGTGGTGATGATGCCGCTCCCCTTATTGTCGCATTTTGCCTCACGGATCTCCGGGCCGTGGTGAAGGCTCCATGGACCTCGCCACGAGTGGCTACCGAAGTAGCCACCGCGGTGGTTCCCATGGTGGCCGTGGTGAAGGCACCATGGACCTCGCCGCGGGTGGCTACCGAGGTAGCCACCACGGTGGTTCCCATGGTAGAAGCTTGTGGTGATGATGCCGCTCCCCTTATTGTCGCATTTTGCCTCACGGATCTCCGGGCCGTGGTGAAGGCTTCATGGACCTCGCCACGAGTGGCTACCGAAGTAGCCACCGCGGTGGTTCCCATGGTGGCCGTGGTGAAGGCACCATGGACCTCGCCGCGGGTGGCTACCGAGGTAGCCACCACGGTGGTTCCCATGGTGGAAGCTCGTGATGATGATGCCGCTCCCCTTATTGTCGCATTTAGCCTCACGGATCTCCGCAATCCCATTTCTTGAACATTAGAATTTTCACTTGTGGAATTTTCTAAATTTCTAGCCATTATATTTTGCTTATACGTTTTATCAAAGAACCTTTGCAAGTAAAAAATTCTAATAATAAGAACGTATGAAAAATATTCAAATGGACTAGAAAATAAAGAAAAAACCTTTTTGTGCGAGAGTCTTCTACGAGTATGGATTTCAACTCTCAATGAAAGCACCAATTTGTGGATGCAAATTTCTTCCTCCTTGATCTTGGACAATTTTGCACCTACAAAACAATTAACACCTTAGGTTAAGGCCAAGAGCCTCACCTCACGCTCCCACGATGAAATGGGGGGGGCTTTGGCCGAAGAACCTCCAATGCCAAAGTTAGAATTTAGAGAGAAATATTGTTTAGAGAATTTTGGGATTTTTGCCAAAGTGTTGGAATCTCCTTTTTGGTGAGAATGAGAGTATATTTATAGAGATAGGAGGTGGCTAGGGTTTTTTGGGTTTAATTTAGGTTTAAGATGATTTTGGGAGTTATGTGATTAATTGACTAATTAATTTGGCAAAATAAAATTATTACCAAATGAATTAGCTAATTAATGGGATGAAATGGGCAAATATCAAGAGATAAACAAAACATGGCCAATTCCTTTTCTAATAATAGGTGGCCGGCCCTTCACTTGTTTTTTGGGTTGAATGGATGTTTTAATTGACAATTAAGGAATTGATTAGGAATTAATCCCTTAATTAGTCAATTATTATGATTTTAAAGGAAGATTTTAGGAAATATGAAAAAATATATTATTTAGCTAATTGATTAGCTAAATGGAATAAATTAGGTTTTGGGAATTACCTTAAATGAGGATGGATGAGATAATTTGGAATTGGTTACCTTTTTGGAGCATTTTTTACTTGGTTAAGGATGATGGCCCGCTACTTGAGCGTAGGAATCCCGTTATACCTCAAGGGTATTTTTGTCATCTTTTACCCAAAAAACCACGTGTCGCCTTGTGATTATTTTTGGCTCCACAAGTACGTACGGTAATTTGGGTTTTGGATTTTTTGAATTGTTTTCTTGATTAATTCTATTATTCTGCACCTAAGTGCTTAACTATAAACTAATGCAGAAGGAGCATATTACACGAGAGAGAGAGAGAGAGAGAGAGTCGACGGTGAGAGTTCACAGGGCGAAATGCAGTTTACTTTCTGTTGTAGGCTGAGAGATTGCAGGGTTTGTATTATTTACAGAGACATGCGCAGTGGCAGAGAGAAAAAGGGAGCACGCATTTATTTTTGTTTTGGGGCCATCGTTCGCTAGATACCTTATTTTTCTCTTCGTAGGGTTTGGCCCTGTCACTTTCAGGCGTCAGAACGAAAGAACCAAGAAAAAGAAGAAGAAAACAAGAGATGCTTGCGAATTAGATCAAATATAATCCTTTATATTTCACACTACAGTTTTAGGATAATATTGGAAAGGAGGACAATGAAAGGCAAGTCCTACTTTTTCGTTAACATTTATATCATTTTACGGTACAATAAGTGCAATTAGAATGGTTCACCCTCATTGTCGTTATTTAAAAATTATCTGAAAAGTTTATTCAATTCGGAGATGGTTTAAACATTCATATGTGTCATAAGATGGATGGTTATAGTAAGAAATGATGAACTGTCAATCTTTGTAGATTCATACGAATGATTAAGTAGCCTTCAAATCTAATAATTCTTTATTTTTTTAAAGATGATCTTTAAATGACACTAGAGAAAATAAACATTACCGGCTATAACGTTTGAACTATAAAATACTATATATTATTGATTCTTCCATCTCCTACTTGGTTTTCTATCCACAGTCCCCCTCCCAACACACATGCAATATACATACACATTAGACATTAGAATTTTGGATGGATATATATGGACCATACTCTTCCTCACTCCCTCTCTCTCACACACATGCTCATGTTGTCATCATGACATGATAACTGAGATCATATTGGTGACACATTTTTTTCTCTTGAATGACATTAAGCATCGGTCATAACAGTTAATTTAATTAAGCCATGTTAAGTATGTTGCATAATATTAATTATATATGAAGTGATAAAAAAAAATTTCAATCATTTACATCATGTATGTTGCATAATATCATTTTTTATGAAGAAAAGTGGATATAGTATTCTTGAAGAACAGAAAATAATTCGTTTCATCTTTTTTGATTGAAATAATTCGCTATATCATAATATTCGTTTTTGTTTTTGTTTGTACCATACTTAGGGTCTCCGTATTTAGATCTCATATAAATACTCGGGGGACTCAAATGTAATTATGTAATAAATGAAGGGGCAAATATGTAATAAGTGAGGAGCCCTTATTTTATAAAAGGACTCCTCACTCTCCTCATTAGGAGAGGCCAAGATTGAGGGCAAGGCTTAGGCCATAGGAAGAGAGAAAATAGGCTAGAGAGCACACTGCCTCTAGCCTTCTTGTATACTCACCATTCAGAGTGAAACAATATCAACATCAGTGTGGACGTAGCCCAAACATTGGGGTGAACCATGATACAACTTGTGTTCTTTATTTTCTGCAGATTCACGGTCAGATTTACGTTGTTCCAAGACCCCTCCGGTTTTGTGCATCAACATTTGGCGCTGTCTGTGGGAATCGACACGAAAAGTTATGTTGGTTCTTTTTCATTTTTTCATCTCACCACCGTGAGACCTCACTACTATCCACCGTGAATCTGCAAAAACTCAAGAACCAAACCCCTGCAAAGTCACTGCAAAACCCATCTCCTTCTTGCATTTGATTTCTAGCCCAACTTGCTGACAAATTGTGCGAACCAAAATAATCCACGCGGCTCCAAATTCAGTGACTTTTCCAGAGAACCCTAACAAATAGAAAGCCACCAGAAGCCTTCCAAATTTCGAACCGTTTTTCAGTTCCTCAACCGAAACCAACTCGCCCGAGTGTCAGAACTCGAACTTGGCAAACCAGTCAAATAGTCATTCATAACACCGCCTCGGCCTCTGCTCCCAAAACACATCCGAGCAGCGACACCTCATCTGCCGTTGCCATCATCCTTCAACAAAGCCTCAAAACTGAGCCCAAATTGGAATAGGGCATCTGGGTACTGTCTCCATGCTCTCCGACCCATCGTCTTCATGGTCGCCAGCTCCAGGCCTGGCGTTTCTTCTGCCCCACAACACTCATCCTCCCCGCCCATCAGTTCCGATATCGTTTCCGATGCCGGAGTCGGTCAGAATTCAGCAAATTCACCAAATCAAGTAGAAGCCGTCGAGGAATACTTAAACAAAGTGGTATACAGATTTCGGTTCTTGGCGTTTATGGGAGTTTTGGGGTATTTGATTGGGTCATTTCTTTGTTTCATCAAGGGTTTGGAGCAGCTTCACTGGGGGACTACTTCAGTAACCGAAACCTTTCATACAAGCTCCCTAGCCCTTTCATCAGCTTCAGATGTTGACACCACAACACCAGTAACTTATGCTTGCTCATCAAAAGATGACATCACCGTCTGTTGCCAATGATGAAAGTAGAGATACAGATATGCTGACTATGTCAAAAATGCTTCAACTTCTGCAGCAATAGCAACAACTTCAACAACACGCTCTTTCTTATCGGCAATTATATCGGCAGTCACTAAATTCAAATCTCAATCCCTATCGGCAAGATAAAATGGGGGGTGCTGGCAGCATCACTATGAATGGTAGCATGTCAAACTCTTTTCGAGGAAATGATCCGTTTCTGAGCTTCAGTTCAACATAAGGGTCGGCGATAGGTGGTAAATCTTTGGCGTACCTCTTCCCATTGCTCCGCCGTCGATGGAGGCCACGACATCAGTTGTGGCCATTTATCCGCCCACCTTGCTCAACCTCTCGCTTCTCGAATCCGGGAGATGAGGAGGCGCCGTACGTTATGTATTACCTGGAGTACGACGGGAAGGCCGGCGGCATAGGCGTGAAGAAGACGATGGAGGTTGATGCAGTGATTGGAACTGATGAAGCGAATTCCAAAGTGGCTAAGAACATTGATGCTGCCAAGATGCAGGCTTGTGGTGGGGCTGCAGTGATGGGTTCTCTTCAACAACCCACTTCAACAAAGGGAATAGCTTTTCCCAACAAAAGGCTTAGCTTTACCGGACATTCACATAAGCTTTACTGGTACTGTTAGATATTATTCTTACATTGAAGGAAGCAGTGGAAAACCAGGCAGAAGATAAGATGTCTTACAACAATTCCATTATTATTACGCTTTGGCGTTGTCTGCCATCTGCCAAAAGAGAAAAGAGAAAGAAATGGAGTAGGAAAAGCAAAAGCAGAAAGCAAAAGAAGAAAAAAAGAAGCAGACATAATTGCGGTGGTGATGGCATGCAGAAAAGGGAATTATGGGCGTGACCTATTGAGCTGAGGGTCGGATTTATTTTTGAATAATGTGATTTATTTTTCTTATCTTTCGAAAACTGTATAACCCCATCAGAGGGTAATCGTTAAAAAAAAAATGGCAAGCCCAAGATAATGGGCTAGAATGTTATGGAGAGGGCGAATGCCCATATGCCTAAAAGAGCTAGACCTTATGGCTTCAAATTTATTCGGCACCCTACCGCTATTATCACCAACCATGTTGTCAAAAGTACGGAGGGGTACTCCAAATTTATTCGGCACCCTACCACTATTATCACCAACCAAGTGATCAAAAGTATGCCCAGTACTCTAAAATTATTCAGCACCTTACCGCTATTATCACCAACCAGGTGATCAAAAGTACACACAGTACTTCAAAATTATTCGGCAGCCTGCCGCTATTATCACCAACCAGGTGATCAAAAGTACATCCAGTACTCCAAAACATTCATGAGCATCACTCATGACAATCATACATAAGCATTCATGAACATCACTCATGTCAACATCCATGAGCATCACTCATGTCAATCAGCTTCGAAAGCTTCATTTACAGAGCTCCAGCTTCAAAAGCTTCATTTACAAAAGCTCTAGCTTCAAAGCTTCACTTGCAAAGCTTCACCTACAAAGCTTCAGTGCAGGGTATACAAATACCGAATCCGAACAACCGCCATTTTGGCCCATACATAGATTCAATTTGAAGTCTCCAGCCAACAGACTTTATTGACTGAAGACTTGGGGGACTACACTATGTACCATATATTGGGCTTCCGTAACTAGGCCTCATGAAAAGTACTTGGGGGACTTAGCCCATTATTTATAGTGTACCATATATAGAGCATCCATTATTCATCTATTGAGGAGCGAGCCCTTATTTTATAAAAGGGACTCCCTCACCTTCATTAGAGAGAGACTCTTAGTCCATCATTTATGTATTAAGGAGCGAGCCCTTATTCTATAAAAGGGACTCCCTCACCATTATTAGAAAGCATTGCCGCCTGCTAAGCAACCGCCTCGCAGCGAGCATTAATTCTAGCCCATCATTTATGTATTGAGGAGCGATCCCTTATTTTATAAAAGGGACTCCCTCACCATCATTAGATAGTATCGCCGCCTGCTGAGCAAACCGACTCGCCGCGAGCCTCAACTCTAGCCTATCACTTATGTATTGAGGAGTGAGCCCTTATTCTATAAAAGGGACTCCCTCACCATCATTAAAGAGCATCGCTACCTACTGAGCAACCGCCTCGCCGCGAGCATCAACTCTAGCCCATCATTTATGTATTGAGGAATGAGCCCTTATTCTATAAAAGGGACCCCCTCACCTTCAACGACATAAGCCGAGCCAACCAAGGCAACATAAACCACAAGCCGGACAGCCTCGCAACATGTGCTACTTCTAGTTGAGCATCATTTCACATTGAGCACTGCCTCATATCGAGTATTCAGTTCTAGACGACATCTAGTTACTTCGGCCCACACATGGACTGAATTTCAAGTCTCCAACCAAAAGACTCTCTTGACTGAAGACTTGGGGGACTACTGTTTGTACCATACTTAGGGCTTCTGTATTTAGATCTCGTATAAATACTCGAGGGATTCAAATGTAATTATGTAATAAATGAAGGGGCAAATATGTAATAAGTGAGGAACCCTTATTCTAGAAAAATACTCATCACTATCTTCATTAGGAGATGCCAAGATTGAGGGTAAGGCTTAGGCCATAAGAAGAGAGAAAATAGGCTAGAGAGCACACTGCCTCTAGCCTTGTTGTATACTCACCATTCAGAATGAAACAATATCAACATCAATGTGGACGTAGCCCAAACATTAAGGTGAACCACGATACATCTTGTGTTCTTTACTTTCTGCAGATTCACGGTCAGATTTACGTTGTTCTAAGACCCCTCCGGTTTTGTGCATTAACATTTGCACAAAACCAAAAGGGTCTTGGGACAACGTAAATCCGACCTTGAATCTGCAAGAAAGAAAAAAACACAAGATGTATTGTGGTTCACCCCAATGTTTGGGCTACGTCCACACTGATGTTGATTGTATTTCTCTGTATGAATGTATGGATTATAAGTGTGAGAGGGAGTCCCCTAGAGAAAAAGAGAGTTCTCTGTGAGCTTTGTGGCTTGTATGTTTTGGGGGTATCTCTTGATCTGAGATCCAAGTCCCCTTTGTGAGGGGGGATGAGTCCCATTTTATATAATAAGGGGCTCCTCCTTTTACATAATAATGGGCTGGGTAATGAGGCCCAATATGTCAAAGTCTGAGGCCCAATATATGTGGTATCAACAGTAGTCCCCCAAATCTTCAGTCAATAGAGTTTTTTGGCTGGAGACTTGAAATTCAGTCCATGTGTGGGCTGAAGTAACTAGATGTCATCTAGAACTGAATACTCGATATGAGGCGGTGCTCAATGTGAAATGATGCTCAACTAGAAGTAGCATATGTTGCGAGGCTGCTCGGCTTATGGATTATGTTGCCTTGGTTGGCTCGACTTATGGCGTTGAAGGTGAGGGAGTCATTTTTATAGAAAAAGGGCTCGCTCCTCAATACATAAATGATGGGCTAGATTTGATGCACGCGGTGAGGCGGTTGCTCAGTAGGCGGCGATGCTCTCTAATGATGGTGAGGGAGTCCATTTTATAGAATAAGGGTTCGCTCATCAATACATAAATGATGGGCTAGAGTTGATGTTCGTGGCGAGGCGGTTGCTCAGCTGGCGGCGATATTCTCTAATGGAGGTGAGGGAGTCCCTTTTATAGAATAAGGGCTCGCTCCTTAGTACATAAATAATGGGTGCTCTCTAATGAAAGTGATGGAGTCTCTTTTATAAAATAAGGGTTCGCTCCTCAATACATGAATAATGGGTTAAGTCCCCTGAGTATTTTTCACGAGGCCCAGTTGTGGAAGCCCAATATATTGGTACATAGTGCAATCCCTCAAGTCTTCAGTCAATAGAGGCTGTTGGCTGGAGACTTTAATTTCAATCCATGTATGGGCCGAAGTGGAGGTTGTTTGGAGGCGGTCTTTGTATACCATTCACGAAAGCTTTGTAGGTGAAGCTTTGAAGTCGAAGCTTTGTAAATGAAGCTTTCGAAGCTGGAGCTTTTGTAAATGAAGCTTTCGAAACTGATTGACATGAATGATGCTTATGAATGTTTATGTTGATTGACATGAGTGATGCTCATAAATGTTGGCATGAGTGATGCTCATGAATGTTGGCATGAGTGTTGCTCATGAATGTTGACATGAGTGATGCTCATGAATGTTTATGTTGATTGACATCAGTGATGCTCATGGATGTTGACATGAGTGATGCTCATGAATGTTGGCATGAGTGATGCTGATGAATATTGGCATGAGTGATGCTCATGAATATTTATGTATGATTGACATGAGTGATGCTCATGAATGTTTATGTATGATTGACATAAGTGATGCTCATGTATAATTTTGGAGTACTGGACATACTTTTGATCACCTGGTTAGTGATAATAGCGGCATGATGCCGAATAATTTTGGAGTATTGGACGTACTTTTAATCACTTGGTTGGTGATAATAGCGGCAGTCTGCCGAATGTTTTTGGAGTACTGGTTGTACTTTTGATCACATGTGACACGCCCCGACCCTGATATTCTCCGAATACCAGGACCGACACGTGCTGGCCGACACCCGGGGGTGACGAAAGCCATTAATTGATACAAAAGCTAAGAATAAGAAATAAATACAGGTTATGAATTTAAAAACAATGAATTAACAATTTAGGAACGTGTTCAGAGCATACTTAGGATTATCCTTAACTCTCGTAGTGTGTCTGTCATGACATTATTTGGATGTCATGACTTCTAGATTTGCTGTCTTTCGGCGCAGTTGTGCAAATCTTTCTCTATTTGAATTGTCACCTTCTGGTTGAAATACAAGAATTTTTGTCAGGATTGTGCCTCATCGGTGACGTTTTTGTTTTGTTAGACGACTTTTAACATCGTATCGATACTCAGCGACGTGTTTTAGAAATCTCGATTTGAGGAATTCTGGTTAAGATTAGCCATAGATCTGAATGGCGATGCCGCTCTGCAACATGCATTCCTTAGGAATCGCGGGCAGAGTCGGCTCT